CAGGTCTCGGGCTGCGCAACGCCGGGCGGGTACAGTCAGACCTCGCATAACTACACACGTCCGCTTTCCAGAAAAATGTCCGGATAGGCGAGGTCTGACTGTACTTGAGTGACGCGACTGCATTTCATTGAGCTGTGCTGTAGTTAGACATCACACATGAACAGGGTATGTTGTTCTATTGTGGATCTGCAGAAAAGCCCAAAGGGTGTGGACAACTTTGACAAGGAGTTCATCTCGACGCTGACGACGAAGAACACACCATGCGACACGACCGTAATCAATCAGCTCAAGCAGACGGAGTTCTTCGGCTTCACGTACGTCAACCTGGACTTCTTCGACGAGGAGCAGGAGCAGGAGGCGCGCGGCCGCAGTGGCGACACCGTCGTTGCAGCGATCACCCGCCGCATTTCCGGCAGCGACTCGGACCAGGCGTTCTCGCCCACCAGCCCCCTGGAGCCGCTCAGGGAGGAGAGTGGCGCCGCCGCCTCCAACACCACTGACGCCACTGCTGCTGCTGCTGCTACCTAGCGCGTTGGCCTGGCGTGCTGCTGTTTCACGGCCGTGTATATCATACAATGCCTGCCATGTTCGTGTGACTCTGTGCTGGCGTGTGGGGTACATTCCTCCGCGCTCGCATCGCTTCAAGAACCATTTCCTGGGACATCATGCATTTGCAGTCGGTCCGACTAGCCGTTCCACTCCTATTATTATATTGCTCAATTTCCCACTGGTATGCCTACTGCCAGTAGTAGTAGTAACTTATCATTAGATTAGTACTAGCTGTTGTCATTGTAATATTTGTACTAGCTGCTGGTATCCATTGTACTGCCTGTTGGCATGGTATTATGTGTACTGGCTGTTGTCATGGTAGCATTTGAAGTGCTCCGGTTAATGTTTTTGCTCGGCATGTTGCTGCTTCGGCTGCACCTACTATTGCCGCCACACGCCCTTTCCTGAAGTTGCCGAGAGCCCTGCATCGGAATTCCTAGTGCCGATTTTTATTTGGAACACACTGCTAGCACTGCGGAGCATTGCATCTTTCGTTTTGTTTTTGTTTTCATGACGTCGGCGTGTCCTACAAGGAATTTCTAACGCCTTGCATGCCGTGGTACACCGGTGATGAATTGCCGTTAGCTGTCAACTTGAGATCTCACAGTAAACGATTTTGCAGGTCAAATGAATTGTTCCGGTTGCGGTTCTGTGGTTAACTTCAATGCTGTAAAATTGTTTTAAAAAAATTGTTTCATTCCTGCCATTTCAAAATTCCTTGCTCTGCACTTGTATTGTGGTGGTGCACTGTACTAGAGTATAACCTGTAACTAAGGTCATGGTAAAAAACAAAGTTGAGTCTCAGGTCCTGAGCCTGTGAAAATCGGTGCGAGCGAGCGATTTTTTATTTTATTTCCCACAATTTTTGTATTGTTTCCAAAGATAGGGTCACACATACATGTACATGTAATGTACATGTACATGGTCACATGTTCATAATATTCAGGCCAGGGAGTAGAAAAATACCGGTATTTTACTACTCCCCGATTCATGCCTTTTGCATTGACCGTTTCATGCATATGCAAGCTTAGAAATTGAAAAAAATCGCCGGTGCGCCGCCAAAAATCGGTGCGCGCGTACTTGAGAATCAAAGATAATTGTTACCATGGCCTAACGATAGGGGTGAAACGAGTATCTATTTTGACCAATCGATCACTCGTTCATAATATTCGATCGAGTATCCGATTATTTCGAGTATTGTATCAAAATTCAAAAGCACTAGATTTGCGAGTTCTCGACCAATTCGAAAGAAATTATCTGTGAACATAGAACAAAAGTCGCCAATGTCTTGTACAGAGTGTAAAGTAACGATTTTCACCAGTACTTTCATATCTCAGAACGTTACTTGCCGTGGTGATCGCATCGTCGAAGTCTTAAAATACTGACTCAAAACATGCATAACGCATGCATACCAGTGGACCAGTGGTACAACAAAAAGTTTTTGAAAAATACAATGCCAATACTAAAAAAAATAAAAAATAAAATAAAAAAAACGATCGAGTGCAAAATTTCGAATACTCGCTCGTTTGAAATTTTCGAACGAATACTCGAATATTCGAACTAATCGTTTCACCCCTACCTAACGAGTAACGACCACCCCTTGGGGCCAGAGAAACCGGTCATTAGTGGTCCTTAGTTAAACAGCCCTGTTTACTTCCCTTTGTGTACATGTACCTGTCTTGCCTCTGTGGTTAGAGGTTTGCGCCGCACAGCCATGTACATGTACATGTACTAGGGACCGGCGGATTCTGCTCGAAAAGGTGGCAGATTCTGCTCGAAAAGCAGTGAAATTGGCAGAACCATACAAACCTTATGACGGGCAATTCCTAGAATTCTGCTCCATTTCTTTATCCACATACCAAACATGCATGAAACGTACCAGAAAAAGTACCGAATTCTGACAATTTTTCTGCCGGCAGAATCCGCCGGACCCTAACATGTACATGTCTGAATGTGAGACTGTCCGAGCCTGGCGAAGTGGCCTGTAGCTGTACACACTGTACCACTACCACAGTACCGGGCTGGTCGGCGGTCGCTATGTTTTTGTTGTTGTTGTTTTTTTTTACTATTATTCACAAACCCAACTCGTAAAATAAATAATTATGTTTTAATACAAAAACAAACAGCTAGCTACTGAGTAGGGGCTGCACTGCCACTGGGCAGCGGTGCATGATGGTGACGTACCAGGTCCAGGGACTCCACCGACCACGGACTTAGTTACAGGTTTTACTGTATTGTAAACTCCTTGCCAGTACAGTGTCAAGCCCAGCAAACAACTGCTCTGTTTGCGTGGCCAGTGAGATCCAGGGTAGGTATAGCTATAGGGCAGAGCGGATGTGTCATGTGCAAATAATTATTTTAATCTTTATTTGTTTAAATTCTCGCTGTGGCCGTAGCCAAAATACGAGGGGTAGTAATTTTACGTAATATTGTGCAAAGCAGGCTGTGGCAGGCAGGATGTGAGTTATGCGTGACTGATAGAGAATACAATAGAGAGGTTAAATTAAAGATGCGCGTTATTTCTGATGACAGTGATGTGACGCAAAAGTTTAGCTCGCGATATTTGGCTCGCGTCATCGAAAAACAACGCGAGTTACCTGCTGCTCACATCGAAATTTGGAGTTTAACTCCAAATTTGACGTGAACATACATGTATTATTAACCTCTCTATTAAGATGCGCGTTATTTTCGACGTGACGCGCAATTTCACGTCAAATTTGGCGTAAAACTCCAAATTTCGACGTGAGCTGCAGGTCACTCGCGTTGTTTTTCGACGCGCGAGTCAAATAACGCGAGCTGAACTTTCGCGTCATGTCAGAAATAACGTGCATCTTTAATAGGGTGCGTTGGAATTGTCACTCTTTGACTTTTCGAGGAGTTTCGTTTTTCTGAAGAGGTGCCTCATTGGCCTCTTCAGAAAACGAAACTCCTCGAAATTCCACAACCTCATCCGATGGGAGAGGTGAATTAGTTGCGAAGAGTTTGGAATAGCTACGTCATGTGTGCGTCGAGATTGTAGATCCGATCGGATGTCATTATCGCCATGACAATTCCACTGAAAAACTCTAAAATGATAGAAACCGTTCTATAGGGGCACTTCAACTAATCTCCTTTAAAAAATTGTTTGAACGGTAATGTTGATGAAGACTATTCGAACATGCCCTTAACCTCTCTAATGTGTCAGCACGCCTTGTCAATTGTGTGCTAAATTGTTCAAGATTATGGTTTAGTTGGTGGCCTTTAGCGCTATCGAGCAGCGCTCAAGCTGTCTTTCATGCCCTGGAATGTCTCAGTACTCCTTGTCAGTTTTCTGCTAAATTGTGCACGTCTGACTGTTCAAGATCTGATTTAGTCCGTGCACTCTTTGAAGTGCTGTCTCGATCTTGAGCAAGGGAAAGTCCCTTTGGGACTGGCATTACACTGTCATAATCGAAGCTCCGATATACTACAGTTGTATGCAAGCCCAGCCAAGCCAGGGATTGTTACTTCAGAATTCTAAAAGTAACTATTACTTAGTTCAGAGCAGAGCCTACACGCTCTCTTCCATTGAGACTGCAATAGTTCTGTTCAACTCATTTCACAATAATCATTCCAACGTTTCGGCAAATTGCCTTCATCAGGTTCGTGAACCTGATGAAGGCAATTTGCCGAAACGTCGGAATGATTATTGTGATATGAGTTGAACTATTGCAGTGTCAATGGAAGAGAGCGTGTAGGCTCTACTCTGAACTGTTTATACGTGGCCAAGAACGCAAATGATGCGAGCGTCGAGACTGTGCAATCAGGTCACGAAGACTGGTAGATCTACACTTGACGTTTGAAGGTCACCGAACAGCGGACCATTTACTTAGGACAAGCTCCGCAAAGGGCTCGATAACCTCAAACGTCTTCGATGGAGTCGACCAGAGGGCAGAGGCCACCTTTCCCAACCCCGGTCAATGATAAAGAATTTATTATGATTGTACAGTACAGTAAGATCGGGCGCCGAAGAACACCTCGCCGAAGAACACCCAGGCTGGAAAACCGGCAAAATTTAAGAACAGTCCAGGCTAGAATTATCAGATTTAAGAACACTAGATCTACATTGTACGTAGATCTACATTGTACATGTATGGGAGGTGAGTGTCATGTACACGTGTAAACAGTAACTGCTACATGTACAGTCATTCCCATTTACGACACCCACTAGTTTAGAAGTACTACACTTGTACATTGCACTACCACGTGTGTACATGACAAACGTCATGACGTCACTCGACTCGCCGCGCGCGTGTGAATAAGAACGGTCTGGCTAAGAACTTACTTTCCTAGGCTGCGCTCGAGCCCCTGCGTTCTTCGGTGCCCGATCTTACTGTAGACGGTCTGAAGTCCTGGTTTCAAGCCCAGAGTTGAACAGCAGTGCGGATTCGCATTTCCGGCCGGCTGCGTCCGAATATATGTGCGACCGGTCCAAAATGTTCCCACTCGACTCCATGCCAAGGCTAAAGAGTGACTGCAAAACCGGGGACAGGCTCGATAGCCAGAAACAGTGATTTCCGCAGCTTTTCCTTCTGATTTTTTCTGACGGATTCGTTTGAACGGCTCCTGTTTGCTCAGCTGGACATAATCATGATAATCATTGAGAACTTTCCGTTGACTTGTAGTGTTGGGATAAGGACACCCTGGGTAGATCTACTGACTGTCTCGGATTGGGCTACCGGTAGCAGCAGTTGGTTGCATCTCGTCGCGGAGTCGCCAAGGCCGTAAGGCTCTGCTCGTAGAATCTGGTCACTAGTCTGTACGTGTGTCAGTCACAGCCTAGCTACTGTGAATTATGAAGTGAGTGTTGGCGCCTCCAATGCCGGCAATGGCTTCGTTTCATTCAAATCCCGAAGTAGCTGATGTTGATGTTGAAGAGCAGCGGTCCATCCTGCACCACGCGCTCTCCTCGGATTTCCAGTTTGTCCGAGTGTTAGCCCATGGCTCTCAGGGTAGCGTATTCGCTGTGCGGTGCACGCTGGGCGGACTGCCGCCTAATAAATTATACGCGCTCAAGTTGTTCTACCACTATAAACGAAGTTGGAGTTCGGCCGCATTCAGGTCGACTGGCGGTCGGTCGCCCATCCCTGCAATCGACGACATTAGCAGGCCTACCTATATTCGAGAGCATGAGTGGGTGAAACGTAGTCGAGTCCTGAGGCACAAGAATGTCGTTGGTATTTTGACGTGGTTTGAGGATATCATTGAGGATGAGCTGTGGGAGCAGCTACCTGAGCATGTGAAGGGTGCTATAGATAAGTCAGCGTCTGCTCGCAGTGGTCGCCGTGCCCAGTTTGTATTGTTTGATCTCCACGAGCAAACAGTTGCGGATTATGTGAAAAGTCGTGGTGACAGACCAGTGCCCTATGCACAGGCCAAGAAATGGTCCATGCAACTGGTGGATGCTGTGTGTTTCTTGAAGGACAAAGGCATAGTGCACTGTGACCTGAAATTGGAACACTTGCTACTCAACAGCAATGGCGACATTGTCCTGGCAGGGATTGGTCGTGAAAAGTACCTGGACCTCGAAAACGACTTGCAATACTTTAGCTACGGTTTGGACAACACCCAGCATGCTGCACCGGAGGTTCACAGACAGTCCTACTGCCGGGGATGGTCGGTTGGCGGCGGCTGTTCATGGACTGAGTATGACAGGCAGACCGGCTGGACTGTGGGCGTCCTGATATACGAGTTTGTGATGAAAGCTCATCCGCTACCTGACTATCCAGGCGCATACAGAAATGGTCACGAGGTGATGTACAACATGGAACATGTCGACATCAAACCATTACCCAGTGAGTACGTAACTGAATTCAACACGCTAGTGATGACATTGCTGGAACCGGACCCAGACAAACGTCCCATCCTCACTGACACTCGACTATGCCTGGAAGCACTTCACACCGGTTCAGCAGATCACCTGCTCCAAGAAGTACCAAGGGCGCACCAGGAGCATGAACAGCTCAAGGAAAGCACCAGCAAGCTACGTGAGGAGAAGTGTGTTCTGGAGAATCGTCTCCATGGTTACGACAGCGACGAAAGGGAACTCAAAGAGCGTCTCAGAGTGCTCGAAGAAGCAATCGCCAAACTTGAGGAGCAGAGTGCAAACCTGAATGTTCTCTTGTGGAAACATGAGAGGACGCCACTAGTCACTGTTGTGCAAGAGATTGCAGAGCGGCGCAGCAAACTGCGGGAACGCCTTACTGCTCTCAACACGGAGGACACGCAGGATGTTGCATCCACATGGCTACTCTGCTCGGATGTGGAGACGTTGCTGAAGGTCATGGAGACGGCGATGGCGCGAGTCAACGAGCTACACGTGCTTCGGGAGAGACTGCCGATACCTTCGTTTCATGATTATGCTAGGGGCCTTAATTCCTGTTCGTCTCGAGGTAAGGAGATGCCGTATTTCTTCATTTTATCAAGTATTTTTGATGGAAATTCTATAATAGCCGAGGCCATTACGTGAAGTACAGTGACATCCTTCTACTTGATGTATGGTGATTCAAGCCTCCAAAATCTAGAGCAAAAAATTCAAAGCAAGGCTTCTAAAAGGGCATGAAAGCGAGGACATGAGAAGTCAAAATGAATTCTGCCGAAAGCAAAGTTAATCAGTAAACACCTGTGTTTGTCGGACTCTATACCAAGGGGAATCCTGTACAGTCAACTTCGCTAATAACGACTGCGGATATAATGAAAATTTGCGAATAACGACAGAATTTCCATGCCCAGAGCAAAGTCCCATCTAACTGTAATACATATAATGAGACTTCGGGTATAACGGCACTTTGCGAATAAGGACACTTTTCTGATGCCCCGCCGAGTGTCGTTATACGCAAAGTTGACTGTATGACCAGACACATTTTCATGGGCCAGAGTGCAGTACACTCATACGTCCTTTATCAGGGCTGTCTGGGACTGCGCACTGATCGTAACTTCGACATGTCTGTTACTCCGAATCACATACATTTTGATGGGAAAGGCCGTGGATATGGCATGTGACATCACCATTTCCACGAAAAGTGACAAAAGAGTAGTAATATTTCCACTGAAACTCGTCAAAAGAGTAGTAATATTTCTACTAAAACTCGTCCAAAGTGTGCCCGGTAGACTGAAGTGCCCGTAACGTCGGGGTCCGGATAACCAAGGTATGAGTGTCATTGAAAATTCACCGCAACAAGCGGACCCCAATCAAACGCGGGATACGGGAAAGATTTTTTTAAACTCTCAAGTTTACCTGTGACAAACAACTTATACAGTAATCGCTCCACTCTGGGGAATCGTGTGTTGCTCCCTACATGGAAGCTCGCGCTTTTTCTGCCGACTCACTTGACTGACTCACGACTGCCAGCCAGAGCACACGAGAAGTCCATCGAACCTTCCACTCGGCAAACCTGCAAGAAAGCACCAGTCCCTGCTCAACACACAGTGTTGAGCTTGAATAGGCTGAGGAAGATTGTATAAAGAGCAAAACTTATAGTGCTCTCCAGACCAAACCATCACCAGTGATACAAACTTACAGAGACACTTCGTTTCAGCACGACAAGCATCTCATGAACACCAGATAGCAGCATGAGGCAGTATCGCTCATGGAGGTGCTGGACAAATGCCGAGGGTCGTTGGCCATTCGCAACGTCGTTGCCTACAAACAATCTAATTCTCAAGCCTGCGCTGGGGACACCATTGTGAAGAAGAGATTGGTGCGACTTCGGCGATACTTAGGGAATTGTGCGTTGCTCCGTACATGGGAGCTTGCGGTTTTCCTGCCGACTTGAATTGTCACTTGACTGACTCACAGCTACCATCGTGAGCACACAAGAATGGTGCTTTCTTGCCGGTGTTCCTGCCGTTCTATGTATCGATGGTAGTCCCCAGTTCGTTTGTTATGGCATATTGGAAGGAGTTTGATTCCTCCTGGCTATCCAAGGCGACAACCCTTGATGAGAATGCCATGCCATCTGATGATGCAGTCGCAAACACATCGCCAACTCGTCGCTCATTGCAGCAGCTCCGCATCGGCACTCACGTGGACATTCAGCACCCGCGCACCAAACAGTGGTCTATGCGTGGGATCGTTGTTGCTGTCGGTAGTCATCGGGATTATCTAGTGAAGCTGGCTAGTGGTCGAATTTACTGGCAGAACCGCAGATTCCTGCGTCCGTATCGCCCACTTGTGCCTGCATCGTTGGTTGTCCTGCCGGCTGCTGCTGCCGCCTCTTCCCTGCCGCCACCGCCTCAGCACCCGTTAGCGCAAGCCACACCAGTGTTTAAACGTTGGTTCACATCATGGACAGTCCTATGATTAACATTTCTGATCACTACTGTCAATTTCTGCTGCCTTGGCTTTGTTGTTTTCATTCTTCATTTTTGTTTTATTTATGGTACGTGTTGCTGTCACATGTTTCGCAACATCTCGAAGGGGCGTGATGTGCATCTACTCATTACGTCATATTTGTATTACTTTGCATGCACGCACGCACTCACACACACACACACACACATACACACACACACACACACACACACACACATACACCCCCCCCCCCCCTTGGACACCCATCGCCAGAGGCGATGATAGCGATGCTACAGCAGAAGCCATAGCAGCTTGTGCTAGGATTGCACCATTCAACAGCTTGCAAGGCTGAAGAATTGACCGCCACTATTCAGCCTGGTCTACACCACACAGCTATGAAGTGGCTTTTTCTGGCCAGCTCACATACACACACACACACACACACACACACACACACACACACACACACACACACACACACACGCGCGCGCACACACACACACACACACACACACACACACACGTATTAGGAATCTGGTTCTCCTGTTGAGTGTGCTTCTTCTTCCTGTTTTTTTTTCTCCCAAGTCTTCTTCTTTTTCTTCTTCATCATCAAATAAATAGTAACATATCAGTTTGCGCTGCACCAAGGGCGTGCGTGCGGTGATCGCAGGTTTTACTGTAAAGGATGTGGTGTGTAGCCCTTCCCCAAAGATGCTCGCCACTTTTTTCGCAACTTTTTGTTGTTTAGGAAGAAATCGCAACTTTCGCAATTTTCGCAACTTTCGCAATTTTCGTGAACTATTTCGCAACTTTTCCGCAACCTTGGCGCAATAGGGCTTGAAAGTGCTACGTCACAGCATAGCAACAATTTCAAAAATTCAAAAACTGGATCCACTTGGATCCAGTTTTTGTATGGATCCAAGCACATTTCAAGCGGTCTTACTCACAGCAAGGTGATGTAGCCAGTGAAACTGACTGCCTTGGCTACTGGGGGAGGGTTGACAACTGGTGGCGAAGTAAAAGTCACACCTGCATACGACATGAGTGGGTTGCTATGCACCCACATACTGAGGCAATAGCGAAGTCACACCTTAGTGGATCCAAAATAGAAATCTGATGTCAACTTACTACTCCTTGGCCGTTTTTGACGTCATCACTTTCAAGCCCAATTGAGTCTGAATTGACCCCATGGCATGGGGTCAAAAGGTCTAGTCACCGACTCACCGACTACATGTCGGACAAATGCATACTCGTACTCGCTCATTTCTCACCTGCCTTCAGACTGATTTCAGAGAAACAGTAGATCAACGGTAGTTATGATAATGTGCATTCCCTTGCACTGGAATGATGTAGATCTACATGATGTAGGATACATGTACATGCAACAGGCTACTGGCACTGTGTAAAGTGGTGTAGGAAAGGATGTAGATGTACGAGTTTGCTGTCGCTGCACTTCTCCCTTTTTTGTAAGTTTTTGCACAAGACCTCTCCAATTTTAGGTTGCGATATTAGCAACTTTTGAGCTTTTTCTGAAAATATGGATGCGATTTCAGCAACTAGCACTTGTTTTGGCACGGTTGCGAAAAGCATAAGTTGCGAAAAATTATGGCATCTTTGGGAAGCCAAAAGACAGGCACAGTGGGTTGGTCAAAGACCATGATTGAGATACGAGAGGTACCTGGTTCAAGTCCTGCCTGGGAGCGGTTTTTCCAGCCGTGCTGCTACCCACAGTCAACTGGGAACTTGTGGCCAGGCACAAGGGGTACATGGATGCAGCTAATGGGGTCGTTTTCGGCACTTGTGCCAGTGGTTGTGAGACTTACCCACTCACCCCCACCGTTAGGCGCTGCATCTGCCGCTAGGGTTTATCGGGTGTTAGCGGCCGTCGTGAGTTCCCTTCGGGGACGGATACGATAATTTACTTACTTACTTTGGGAAGCGAATCACATTTAAAAAATGCGAATGTTCAAATTGCCAGGAGCATAATCATTCGCAATTACGGCATTCTACTGCCCAACAAGTTTCGGTAAAAACTCACCCCATTGTCACTTGACCAGCTGGTTTTTTGGTCGAAGCAAAATATCACCTTTTAGCTTGCATTTATCTTGTGTACTTGAATAAAGTCCGGCAAGGTAGATCGAACAACAAAATAGCAGTAATTGATCTCAATGCTGGTCTCTGATTTCCGTTGTGTTTCTGCATGCTCATATCATCCCTGTGCTTAGGTGTATCACGGCCAATCCCTGCGTGGTGGGTAAGCTCTGTCGTCTGTAGCTGGTGCTCTGATTCTCCTCCTCATAGATGCCAGTGGTTATTGTTGTTGTCCATGAACACTTGATTTAGTTGTGGTGGTGGTGGTGGCAACTACTACGACGGCGACTGTGGTGGTGGTTGGTGGCGATGACGGAGTGCCGGTGATGAACGGAAAGTGGTCCTTATGCATATTGTACAGATGTACGGAGTTCTGTACTCCAGTCAGTTTCAGAAAGATTAGCAATCCTGGCGATCGCCCGGGGAGTTTGCCGTCTTACCGTATGAGCGCTCGAACGCTGCCTGGAAAATCTCACTGTGAACTCGAAGAACTATTCCGCGTGAAAGCATGAAAAATGAGAACTCACTCACGGCGGTACGTGTACGTCTGGTTTACAACAAACGAGTCCTAGGCTGTGTTTACATGAGGCGTTTCAACCCAGGTTGAGTTCGACCCGGGTCAGATTTCAACCCGCCATGTACACAAAATGAATGGCGCGTTTACATGACGCATTGCGCTTGACCCGGGTTTTAATTTCGCCCAAGGGGAGGGTTGAAATCAACCCGGGTCGAAGAAATTGTACTAACGTACTTCTGTGCGTATCTTGCCCCAGGTTTGAATAGCAGTGCACAGGCAAATTTTGCGCGAAAGTATTCACGTGATCATGCAGGACTCTAGAAGTGGACTTTTGGCGGCATGTCAGTATTTGACCCGGGTCAACTGCCTTAATGTAAACGCTCACCTATTTTGTCTATCGTACAGACTTTCAACCCGGGCTGAACTCGACCCGGGTTGAAAATTCTCATGTAAACACAGCCCTCTTCCGCATATAGATGGGATATGAAGTCAGAGAAGACATGTCGAAAGTGTGGTAAATGTTGACGAGCAGCCGCTTTGTGACCAAATAGTCTCTTTGAGCTGCGATGCAATTTTATTCTCACCATGTGACGAAAACGACATCGACACAGACTCATTCCCAACGCCATGACTTGGCAAAGCTATCCGTGTGACTTCGACGACATTTTGAGAAAAGCAGACGCCTGTGCAAACTGATAGGACGGCTTTGAGTCCTAAATTCAAAAATTGGCGATCTTGAAATTCTAAAATAATTCTGACAAAGAAATCGATCGATCTATGTGCCAGTGTATTCAACACGTACATGTAGCTACAGCGCAATGACTTCCGTATTCACTCACACCGTTTCAGTGTTGTGGGTGTGTTCACATGGCGTGAGCCAGTCAAGTGTCAGTCAGTTCGGCAGGAAGCGCCAGCTCCAACAATAACAAGTCGTTTGGCGCAGCCACCTTCTTTGTCTTTCACGATCAGCAAACCATTGGAAAAAAAGTTTGACGAACATAGGTTGGGATTTGAACTCGCAACTTCATGGTCAGCAGACAGTATTCATATCCACAAAGCCAAAAAGGAAAGAATAAATCGTGGGTTTTGATAAAAAAAATCGATACTGGTTTCCAGGGCTAATTGTAAACCAAGGGAAAAGGCCAGAAACCTGGCCGAAATTCTAATTCCTTAACGGCTGGTCCAATTGTTCCGAAACCTTCACAGAACAATAATTTGCCGTGCCCTAACAAGCCCTGTTATCTACTTTGTTGTAGAAATTCCCTTATCTTCATACTTCTTAAGACCACAACCTGATTGCTAATCTTTTTGAAACGGACTATAGGGCTGTAGGCGTGTACATACCCGTGTGGGTGTTCATTTTGTGCGCTATGCATGTGCATTTGACCAATTAAATTATTTAGCCCAGTTATCTATGGCTTTCAAGCTTCATCTCTGTGAATGGAACTAGCAACTAGCTAGATCTTTGTCCGAGAAAGGTTTTTGTTTGAAATGCCTTCAGGGCTCGTTTCTTAGTGGAAATAGCAGAAGAAAATTTGGTCATCTACATAATTATACTGAAATTCTTATCAACCACCACACTACACCGCTGCGCTCTCCGGCCGACCTCAACACGTTGCCACAGCACACCATCAGCAAAACGACACTTCAGTTGGTACTCTGCTCCTTCAGACAGCAGCTGTTTCGATCATCAGGATCTCGTCAGTGAAGATTGATAATGTAGAATGGCTAACAGATAGTGAACTTCACCCTTTTGTAGCAAAAAAAGGGGGAAACATAATGGCGCATCTTAGGCGCAAAGATTAAGGCGCGAAGATTAAGGCTAAGCAAAGTCGATACTGATAGATTACACTGAGGATACTAGTAATATAAAGGGTGTTAATGAGAGTACAGTCACCACACCACACAGCACAGCACCTCACCACACAGCACAGCACCTCACCATTGTCACGTCACAGCCATTCTTCAGTTGCCATGATAATGCCGTAGCTTAGCAATGAAGAGACGAAGTGACAAACACATCCTCACAAATTATTATCATTCGAGAGGCCCATGGGGCATTCGCTCTTGACACTGCGCCATGGTTTGACATCCGCCATCTTTTGCATAGCTATGGGAACGAGAGAGCTTGGAAGCCCAGGGCCCTACGCTATGCTTTTTTGCCTAGCGCATCGTGCATGATATTAGAACTGATGGAAATGTCTTTTTCTTTGATTGGCTACATCATTGTATTGCAAAAACGTTTCAATCAGTTTGAATATGAGTTAGGCAAAAGTATTTGTAGAATTTATTGCGGATCGTTATTTTTCTCTCACTTAAACGGGCTGTCCTCGAATCGTTTTCAAACCGTTTATACGAGAACGGCAAATTGTTTTGAACCATTTAGGCCACACCGTTTTTTATCTCTGTTTCGCGTCCCCCGCGCGCATGTATTTCACAGCCGGAGTTCAAAACAACAAAAACAAAAAACGGAACAAAATATTTTTTTTTTTTGAAAATGCAATACAATTCTAATGCAAACCCAGAAAACCGGAAAATGTAACTCAGCTCAAACGCATGTACCTGGTACATTGTACATGTGTGTGCAATAAGCTGGACCGCAAGTCACACAATCATCATGCTGCCTGTGTTTGGACCACAAGCATGGCAGAGGGGATACACTCATGTACATTGTACATGTCTGTACATGAACAGTGCCGCGTCGCTTCACTGTACACGTACGTACACAAATTCAATGCACGTACACTTTTTTTGGATGGCTTTTTTTATTTTTTTCGCCCTCCCTCATTGATTTCATCGAATTAGGTGACGCGAAACATAGAAAAAAACGGCGTGGCCTTACACGAAAACGAAAAACGGGCGATCAACGGCCTGGAGAGTGGAGTTATCATTTGCTGGCTTGGCGCAAGGGCGGGAAGTAACACGTTAGTTGGAGTTGGTAAGTGCTGGTGGTCGCAAGGGTTGGGTATTTCCCACGAAATATAATCCTGCGCGAAATGGTTTCCATGTCCGCGCTCTATTTCCAATCGTTTTCACTGTTTTCACCGTTTACACGAGAACGAAAACGGTTCAAAACACTTTGAAGTGCGTTTCCATTTCATTCCGTTTAGGCATCGTTTTCGGGCGTTGTCGTGTTGTCACATTCCGAGCCGTACCGCTTATCGAGACAGATCAGATGCGGTAGAACCCTGCATATAAAAGGGCAGCCATACTTCACAGCATACTGGTGCATGCAGATTCTCTCAGGATGCGACGCTTGATACGCGGCGCGCTATCTGGACACTCGTAAACAGCCAGTTTGCCTGAGGCCTGGTTCGACAGACTTGACAACACGGATCTCTGTCTTAGCTCGCTTCACCAGTATCGTGTCTACACTACGCAACTCTTGAATGCTCGATGCACTGCACTGTCGGCCTGCATGCATTCCCCCGATACACTTCGCATACAAACTCATTCTCTTGATGCTACGGTACTCTTGATGATATGGGACAGGTACGGGATAGCGCCGTCATGCCGATGGCACAAACAAACA